GCCTGGAGGCTCAAAACGGGAAGTGAGGGGGGGCAGACGAACATGGACAAAAGGGGTTCGCGGTGGCGAGTGTGTGAATAGCTGCATATTCCACACTAGTCTTAAAGCATCCGCTTGGTTCCCGTTCAAGCCGAGGATGCTGACCCTGCCCTGGGGGAGCTGGAAGTGATCGACAGCATACAGTATAGTGTATCATGTCGTGTAGCTTCCGGAGCTGGCGTCCAGAAGGGAAGATGTGAGCTGAAGCTGTTAGGAGAGGGTTGTGACGCTACCGGCGGCAGCGTGGGTGTTGACAGCTTCATTTTTTCTTCTTTTTTCTGACGGATCACCTTGTCTATATGCACCCATCTGTCCAGCCCCCGGTTCAACGGTTGTAACGGGAATGCGCTCCTCGTTCCGTTGCAAGATACCGGATGCGAGGTGCATTCCGCTGTGCCTACCAAAGTTCTGGTAAGGAAATGTGAGAGTGCATCTCCGGCTGCTGGACCTGCTGCAGTACATATGCATAGAGGACCCTGGCTGCGATGCAGAGTTGGATATGTATGTATGTATGTATGTAGGTGAATGACATTCGCCTGTGCAGTGAATTAATTTTGATGACAAGACACTTGCAAATAATTGGTTCAATATTAGCGAATTGAGAGCCAACACCCGATAGTCATCATTTTGAACATGCTTTCTGCCTTGAAAACGTGCCTTTGCTGTAGTGTGCATGTGCACACTGGCAGCAGCAGTAGCATCAGTATGTATGTACATTAGCCAAAAAAAAAAAAAAAAGAAAAAAAAGAAAAAAAAAAAAGACTCGTGGACCCTATAAAAATTGAGGGTACTATCCTCCTCCTCCAGTGACTGATCCAGGGTTCTAACCGGGTCCATGGGAGGTCAAGACAAGGGAAGCGGGAACGAGGGACGACGGACGTTCTTGGACCATACCCCGACGACGTCATCGTGCATAAGACGGGCCTGGAAGCTCCCCCCCGTCCTGACCCCGCTGGCTATTGACGAGGCTAGGAAGATTTGGGAATGGTTGTGTGGTAGTTGTGATGTTAATAGCGCCGGTTTCAACATGCAGGCACTGCAGCCTACTACTGTATGTACACTACATATGTACATACCTAGTACCAATCGATGTGTCCAGCCCAGGATTTATTTTTGGTTTGGTGAATTTCCCTCGCCTTGGGGATATCCCCAACAGGGACAGCAGACAGCAGGGACAGCGGAAAGATAGACCAAGCGTCTTTACATAGTTATGACGGCATAGTGTTTTCGTGCTTACTCGGCACCTAGTGTAGAATTGTTGGGGAGCGCTCAAGCTGGAATCGCAGCTCCATCACTGAGGGGAAGGTGAGAGAAGTGTACGCTGATTTGGCGAGGATGAATTGGATGCCGTTTGTGCTGGCTGATGTGGGGGCGGCGCTGGTCCATAGATAAGATGATTTGCTCTAGTACGTGAACAACAGCTCGGAAATGGGAACAAAAGGAAAGATGAGATGGGATGGCGCGGCTGGCAACAAAAACAGAACAGTGTCGGTGGGTAAGAGTAAGTATTGGTCCCTGATGATCACGGGAATGATCCGTGATCCGTGCAGGCAGGCGTGGCAGAAGAATTTCAATCAATACATAGGCGCCAGGGCAGCGGACACATGCTAGCGAGGGGAAGGAGGTGAGCTGATTTGGCTGTGATGAGCTCTGCATGTAGATGGATGGATGGAGGTTGGGGGCCCTGAAAGCGCGGGAAGTGGGAGTCGGCAAGGACCCTTGACAAGGAGGGTTGCCAGATGTCCCTCTTTGGGACTGGCTTGAGCGAAATCACCGATTCCCGATCATGAGATGGGGAGAATCCACATGGCCAGAAAGACGGCCGTCGAGGAGCTCTGATATGAAAATGGAGCTTTGTGAATCTTGGAGGGTTGCGAGTGGTCAGTGGCATGAGATCCAACTACACTAGTGTAGGGTCTGGACGGAGAGGCGGCTCTTGGGAGAAGTCTTGGGGGTGTCATCGAGATGGCCAGCATGCTGGGTGGGTGGATGTCTTCTTGGTAGTGGTGGGAATGACTTCCACTTGCACACAACCACGACGACCCTCCAGAATGCGTGCCATATTGCGTTGATACCCAAGCCCAGCAACCTCCAACAGCCCAAGGTAAAAATGACGAGACTGAGATATACTGCGGTATGGCGACTGCCGGGGAAGAACAAGCCAAGTCAATGACGCGGCTATCGCCAATAGTGGAGTGACCATCTCATGGAGGCTAAAAAACCCCCCCAAAAAAGACAGACATCCTGGGTGAGAATTGCGTGCCTGGCCCAGGGGCTCAAGTACACTATCAGACTATCTCTACACTACTGAGGGGGATGTGTGTGGAGGATGGTCCAAGCTTTGAGTGTGGGCTGTAAAGAATGAGCTGACTAAGGTATGGAAGGTATGGACTTGGTTGGAAGAACTTTAAGCATCCTGATCCAGATCGCCAGGGTATGACTCCGTTGATATCCAGTGTGTCGTTTGAAAATCCCCCAAACGGCGAGGCAAGTGTAGAGGTAGTGTATGCATTGTGAATCCCTTCGTGTTCCACAACCCGGACCTTTTCCTCCAGACACCTTCATTGACAACCTGTTTATCGCCCTTCTTGTCGATCTGACAGTGACTGCTTTTCTTGAAATCATAGCACTCAAGTTCAAATGGTAGTGTACTTCGGGAGGAGGAAGCCGCGCGTGACTGCGGCTTTATGCTTGGTTCGTCGACAGCGGTCGGAGGGACGGCCGATTCGAATTTTTATTTTATGTTTTCCCCCATTTTCTAGCAAGGGAAAGAAAGGGTGTCAACATCAATGGTCGACTCTGCGCTAGGACTAGTCACCGCCAAATGGACTATTGGCTGAATTACTCGATCAAAGTCCGATTGCACCCAAATTCGCGATTTGGAGAGGACCACGGGAAATGGAGGGGCTCAGCAAAACGGCCGATGGCTTGCGATGGCTTGCGAATGCCTGCCAGGCCGAGCGGGAGTGGGTCTTTTGGCATGTGTCGGCGACAAGGGGTCGTGGTTAGCGCTGGTTAACGCTCATGAGCCCCACCCCTCAACTACGTCATAGCCTCCGTGAGGTTGTTAGAGCGGGCATCTCCCTCGTTGTCGCCCTTGCTCCCCTCGTCTGGCCCGCCTGGCCCATCTGGCACCTAGACTACCTAGTCTTGGCACCATGTCTACCTACCTACCTTACTCTACTTGACTATATGCACTATCAGATGACTGGCGAACGTAGGTAGTTTGTGAAATGGTTGTGATGAGCATTTGACTGAACGAAGGGTTAGAGTAACACGACAACCTCAAGGACCCAGCGTTATGGGAAACCACCGCGGGCCAAGTTGCGGGGTTAAGGGAGAACACCTGCAAGCAGTTGGAAGGGATGATTGCTTGACTTGTGCATTTAAGCTGCACCTAAAAAAGACATCAACCTGACATCCATGGCATCCACTGAGGCTATCTTCACCTTCCTTCTCAAATGTCCCTGCATTAACAGAGACAGTTAACGGCAGATCAGACACAACAGGAACATCCATTTGGAAACCAGCACCAGTTAGTGGTGGATGGTGGTATATATGTATGTATGCAGAACGCGCAAGACACACTAAGGAGGGGAGGACTCAAAGGGGAGGGGACAGGTACAGGTACCCAACCAACCAACGACAGAAAAGAGAAAGCGGAAAATGGATGAACCAGAGCATGGAATTTGAACAAGACGGAAATTCAGCATATCCTGTTCTCCAGTCCCGGCGTCGTGTTCCTGGTCTCGAGGACGGTCGCCGATGTACCGCCAGGGTACCTAGGGTGGTGCCAGCTCTCCATGCTGGTCGGTCCTCCATGCTCTGGCCTCTTCCCTATTGGAAGTTCCTGGTAGCGCATTAACCGTTTCGAGCTGTTCCTCCTACTTCCTTGCCCGTGAGCCCGGCCTCCCGTTCCATCCTCGCTGCGTCTTCATGCACCCTTGCCTGGCTCATCGGGTGTGTGTGTGTGTTCAGATTCAGGTTCAGGTCCAAGTGCCAAAAGACGGATTGACCGTGTACACTATTTACTGCTCGTAGCTCCTTCTTTTTCTTTCCTCCCTCTTTTTTTTATCATCTGCGCTTTCGCTCCTCATCTTCCTCACACGTCCCTTCTCTGCTTTCTCTCCTCTTCAAACCTGTTGTGCTCTGCGTGTTAGTATTCTCTCAGTCTCGGTCGGACCTATACAAGCCTCAGCCACCACCCATCAACCAAACCCCCCATCGCGATATTGCTCGGTTGAAAGGATCCGACTTTGACCTAAGCTCGACTAAACTCGCCAAGTGTGAAGAAGCAGTCCATCGTCGGAAAGTGCGGGGCCATCGGTTTCTTGCTTCAAATCGCCCTTGGATCGCAAGAGAGGTTTTTACAACAACAACACAACACATTTCCTACCAACCGCCCGACGAAAAAGCAATATATACACGACACGAGGAAAATCATTCCGGATCGAGTACGACACCGAGTTGCGACGCCAGCATTCCCAATCATCGATCGCGCACCTCGGCCTGCCAACCACTTGTCGTGTCGCTGCCCCTCCGAGAGGTATCCGAATTCCCGTCAATTTGGGTAAAAGCTCCAGTTCTGTTAGTGAACTACTGCAGGTAAGCGAGCGGATACCCACCAACAAAAGGTCCACCGCTACTAAAGGCCAATTCCCTCCTCCGCACTTCCCCGCCCTGGCGACTGCCTGGCGCACACTGTATTGCCCACTGCGAGCCATTGAGCTGCCCAGCTGGAGGGTGCGCTGGAGAGGGATTGGAAGTGGGATGGATTCCTTTTCTGTCCATTGCGTCCACTTGCATTCGGCTCCCACCCGCTCTCTCTCCCCTTCACTTTTCGTTCCAGGCACTTTTGCTCTCGGTGCCCAAGCTGATATTTTCTTCCCAAGCCAAACAAAAGTTTTCGGCTCGCCTTCAGGACTTCGTTCTCAGCCTTTGCCCGATCCCCTTATTGTGCGCACTACGCAGGCAACATCCGACACCAGCCGACGTCGTCCGTCTCCTCAGTCTCCCTTACACAAAACACAAAGCGCCCGATCACCGGATCCCCTCACTGCCGCCACTGAATCAAACCTCGCGTTTGACCTGTGTTTTCGACACTCGGCCCATTCAGCTTGCCCGGCGCTCCCACCAGAGACAGGGCTATTTAGTCTTCCAGCAAATCTCACTCCGTCCTTTGTTCTGTAACATCAACACAACACTTTACAATGGCCGAATTTATCCGCGCCCAGATCTTCGGAACTACCTTTGAGATCACCTCGAGGTTGGCCTCCCCGCGACGAACCCTTCTGTCATTATGCGCTTTAGTCTGATCCCGCCATAGGTACTCCGATCTCCAGCCTGTCGGCATGGGAGCTTTTGGCCTTGTCTGGTATGTTTTTCGCTTCGCTATCTGGTCACATCCGCCAGACACACCCAGCTAATGATGACCGCCGCGCAGCTCCGCGAAAGACCAGCTCACCAACCAGAATGTCGCCATCAAGAAGATTATGAAGCCCTTCAGCACACCGGTCCTCGCCAAACGCACGTACCGTGAGCTGAAGCTTCTCAAGCACTTGAGGCACGAAAACGTTGGTCTACCAGTTTCCATTGCACAAGCAAATTGGGAATTATGCGACTAACATGCTTGCGCTACAGGTCATTTCTCTGAGCGATATCTTCATCTCTCCTCTCGAGGATATCTACTTTGTTACCGAGCTTCTCGGAACCGATCTTCACAGACTTCTCACTTCTAGGCCTCTTGAGAAGCAGTTTATCCAGTACTTCCTGTATCAGATCATGGCAAGTCACCCCCTTGTCAATGTCGCACGAAAACGACGGTGCCCACTAACTCCAGGATTAGCGCGGCCTCAAATACGTTCACTCCGCCGGCGTTGTCCACCGTGACTTGAAACCAAGTAACATCCTGGTCAACGAGAACTGCGACTTGAAGATTTGCGATTTCGGCCTTGCGCGTATCCAGGATCCTCAGATGACGGGCTATGTTTCTACTCGTTACTACCGCGCCCCCGAGATCATGCTCACTTGGCAAAAGTACGACGTCGAGGTCGACATCTGGAGTGCCGGCTGCATTTTCGCCGAGATGCTGGAGGGCAAGCCCCTCTTCCCTGGCAAGGACCATGTCAACCAGTTCTCCATCATCACCGAGCTTCTCGGCACTCCCCCAGACGATGTCATCAACACGATTGCCAGCGAAAACGTGTGTACCCCCACTCTGCTGAAGGCTCTGCGACACCGTGACTAACTCTCCGTTAGACCCTGAGATTCGTCAAGTCCCTTCCCAAGCGCGAGCGTCAGCCCCTGAAGAATAAGTTTAAGAACGCCGATTCATCAGGTACGTCTAGCCGCTCGCCATCGTAGGATACACAATATGCTGACCTGTCTTAGCTGTCGATCTGCTCGAGCGCATGCTTGTCTTTGACCCTAAGAAGCGGATAACTGCCACCGAGGCCCTTTCACACGAGTACCTTGCTCCTTACCACGACCCCACCGACGAGCCGGTTGCCGAGGAGAAGTTCGATTGGAGTTTCAATGATGCTGATCTCCCGGTCGACACATGGAAGATCATGATGTGAGTTTGACCGCATCAATATGATGAGTTGAGAACCACACCACTAACTGAATCACAGGTACTCCGAGATCCTGGACTATCACAACGTCGAAGCCTCGGGGCAAATGATGTTCCCGGACGAAGTTCCGCAATAAAACACGGCAACGGCAGGGTCCGAGACATGGCCCCGAATCTACAACACAGGGGTGGAGTAGAAGTCCCCTGGCTTCATGATACCACGACATCATGCCACATGATTTCTTACCGTCATAATCCACTTTTTTTTCCGGTCAACTTTGTAGGGGTTCTCCGATTTTGTTTTTGTCTACAATGTTTGAAGAGCGGGGAAGCGGATACACATCAGAAAATTGTATCCAGGTCCCGGGTACAAGGGAAGTTTTAAAGAAAGGGAGAGGGCATGCAGGTATGTCCAGAGAGAAGGACGCATGCATGGGAAATACACGTACCCAGGCACGGGCGATGTTTGGGGTTAGGATCAAATAAGACAAGAAGTAAAAGAAACCAGGATTCAAAAGAGGGTGCTTGCGCTTGTTGACTTCCGGACCGACTGATATTCACCAATGATGGAGAATTTGGGCATGCATGGCGTTCGTGGAGAGGGAATGATATGTAAGGCCGAGACCGCCACTCTTTGGAGCCCGCCGAGGGTGTTGATGGTGGACAAGCGGCCTGTATTGTTATGGAGAGAAAGGATGAGTGGAAATGATGGCTATCCATTCGTTCACGAGGCACTTGGTGGGGAGTAACCTAAGCAGACACACGCCATTAGGGGTCGGTTGTAGGGGCAAACAGGCGGTCGGATCGATAGAGTTAAGATTCTACATTAATTTGAGTATATGATAGACTTTGTGGTAACATCAGCTCACGTCGGAGTATTACTGGCCTTGCATTGAGCATGTTTAGTCGGAGATCGCCAAGATCAGACTCTTAGCTCAGGGGTGGTAAAAAGAGGGTGAAGATTGGGTGAAAAGCGACGGTGGGTGGGGAGGGTGGTGAGGAATAGATGATTGTATGTAATAAGGTGTAGCTATTCCCTCGTTGACCGTTGACCTAGAATCCGGTCTGTAGCTTTCGGCTGGCGGTTGGTTTGGAGGGATAACGCGCGTGTTTGGATCACAACTATCACCATCGTTCCCGTCGATATCGTTCTCATGGATAGCCTTGGCAAAACCTCGCGGTAGGTCAGGCGGTTTGGTGTGCATTCCGATGTCTACATACATATGTATGTACGATGTCACCGCATCTTACTGTCGACAGACAGCCTCTCTCGCAGTTGCATGTTGCATGAGGCACTCGCTGATGAGAACGGGACAAAGGAGCAAACATCGGATGGTACAGGAAGATGGGTTGACTCGGCGATGCAAGTTGAAGGTTGGGTTTCCGTCTTTGGGCAGTGAGTGGGCAGTGGGGGGGGGGGGGGGGACGGCTGGGGAACGAAGCACGAGCCGCCGCCCACTCAGCACCTCAGTCACGAACGCGCCTCGTCGAATTGTCGGGAGAAGCTCCGGTCCTCCCGTCCTCTTCCAACCTCCCGTCCTTGGATGTCAGTCCGGCGACTGTTGTAGAAATGTTTCGGCCTTGAAATCGTCCTACCCTAAATCTTTGTTTATACCCACACTATCTCCGGATCACTGAACGGCGACAACACATACGGCATTGGCGTTGGCATTGCTCGGCCCACCCCTTCCGCCGCCACTTCTCGTACCATCCCAAGACCCTACCAACCCAATCAAGCAACCTGGGCCATTCTCTCCGTCGCCGCTTCAATCTCTATATACTTACGTATACATACCTACCCTACCACATGGAGACATCTTGAATTGGTGATTACGGAAAAAAAAACATTCTAGTCATATAACGAAGCGCGCGGTAGCTTTTGCCGCCATTCCGGACCGCATATCAGTCGCAACTCCCGGATCCCGGATCCCCAACCTAGACAATGTCCGTCCCCCCTACCCCGACAACCGAGAGAAAGCCGGGCTTCATCCCGCTTGTCGCCGTCGTCGACTTCCACCATGCGCGCGGCCCCGAGGTCGAGAGGTGGTTCGGCGTGCCCGAGGATAGCGATCCAGCCGCCGAGTATGATTGGGGGTTGTTGCCTTTTATGGCCTTGAGCGATGGTGCCCATGCGTACGTCCCCCCATTCCCCTCTAACTCGCGGAAAAGAAAAGACATGTTTCAAAGACTGACGACGCATTGGATGACGACACAGCGCAACAGAAGACTTCTCCTACTTCACCCTCCTCCGCCCCGCCACCGCCGCCGAACCCGAAGCCACCTCCCTCTTCGGCATCTCGTGCACCCGCCAGATGGATGCCTCCCAGCTGCTGAACCGCCCCGCCGATGTCACCCGCTCGACCGTACAGAAAGCCGTCGTCATCATCGCCGACTCGCCCCAGTACTTTGGCATGCTGCGCGAACGCCTGAGCGTCGTCACAAAGGCCTGGTTCGCTCAGCGCGAGTTCACCGATGTTGAGATCCTCCGTCGCTTCCAGGAGAGCCTAGCGGACGAGAAGGCGCGCGGCACCTTGCTTGGCGAGAAGGAGGAGGACAGGGATTTATATCTCGGCATGAGCCTGCGCGAGCTGGTGCGCGAGTTCCGGTGGCAGACGCTGGTGCTGCTCAAGTGCTGCTTGCTCCAGCCAAAGATGCTGTTCTTTGGATCGAGGTGCGAGAGACTGTGCATGATGCAGTTTTCACTCATCAGTCTGATTCCGGGCTTGTTGAGGAACTTGCAAGACTCGGCCGGTCCGGAGCTGGATCACTACGAGAAGAAGCTCCAGAGGCCGACGAGCTTGCGGACGAGTGATCGCAACTCGCTGCTGGCGTACATGGGCTTACCGCTCCAGATCTTCGGCAAAGGCAGCTTGTTCGGGCCGTATACCCCTCTCCAGCAGCTGGACATCCTAGCCGACTTTGGCACAAAGTCCTACATCGTCGGCAGCACCAACTCTCTGCTTCTCCAGCAAAAAGACCGCTACTCCGACATTCTCATCAACCTCGACGAAGACTCCATCAACATCACCTCCCCTAGCCTCAAATCCGCCCTCGCCCTGTCCACCCCCGACCGCCGCTGGATCGACTTCATCACGCAAAACGTCAATGACACGTGGGACGACGCCAACCCGGGCATGCCCAAGACCATGGGCTACGTCGGTTCCGAGGAGTTCATTCGGCTACAATTCGAGGAGTACCTGCTGTCTTTGATCTCGTCCGTCAAGTACCACAACCACCTCGCCATCCACTCCCAAAACCCACGGATGCTGCTCCCGCACATCGAAGGCGACCCCTCGCTGGACTTCAACGCCGACTTTATCGAAGCCTGGAAGCGCACGGAAAATTACCGGATCTGGGACGGCCACACGGACTCACACTTGTTCGACATTGTCGAGCCTAAGCACCCCTGTGCCGGCGGACTGACGATCGATGATGTGCAGAGACGGATAGCGCAGCAGGTGCAGGATCTGCATCTGGATGAAAGATTTGCGGTCGGCAAGGAAGTGCTGGGGCGGAACCTGGCGGCGGGGAAAGAGAAGGCGAGCACCATGTTCAATAAATTGTATGCGGATATGGAAGCCTTGAGGGAACAGAGACGGAAGGCAGCGGAGGAGGCGGAAAAGCAACGACAGGCTGAGGCGGCAGCTGCTGGGAATGGGCAACAGCACGGTAGCGAAAAGGGTGGCGGCAGTGGGAGTGGGAACGGGAACGGAGGAAACGGACAAGGAGGACTGGCGCCAGCGGCTGCCGTGTCCACGGTAGGCAGCAAAGCCGGCGCCTTTGTGAGCAGCTGGACGGCTTGGGCGGGCGAAAAGCGCAAAGGATGGGGCCGTTCGGCGCCGACGACACCGATTACCGAGACCGCGCCTGTGCCTCCCACCACCACCACCGATACAACGACTACCAGCGACACGTCTTCACAAACTGGATCCCAACAACCAGAAGAAAAGGACAAGGAGAAGGAACAAGAAAAGAAAGGATGGGGCTGGTCCAAAGCCATCAGGAACCGCACCTCCCTCCTTCTCAGCGGCGGTAGCACGTCCGAAGAGCGTGAGACATTCATGCCCCAATCGCCTCCTCGAAACGGGGCGTATGCCGCTCTTCCGCTGGGTACGGGCAGTCCGGAGTCGGTGAGGACCACCAGAACGGGGAACAGCAGCACTGTTGAACAAAGAGCGTATAGGAGGAGGGCGTTGAGTGGGGAGAGTATGTTGGATGCGGTGGAGGGTGAGGATGGGGAAGGGTTCTCGGGGAGTGAGTTTGGAAGTCCTGAACGAGTACGTGGGGGGATTGCGAGAAAGCCGGTGGGTAGCGCCGGATCAAGGCCCGGGACGGCGGGGACAGCGGGAAGCGTTAATCTGATGAGTCTGGCGTCGCCGGAGGTGGTGAGGTCCGCAGATCATGCGAAGACGACAATCGCGACACAGGAAGGAAGTGTTGGTGAGAGCGAAGTTAAGAAGGATGAAAAGGTTGAGATTGAGGACAAGGCGGATCAAGCGGACAAGGCGGATAAGGAGGACAAGGGCATGCATGAAGTCTCACTCGACGACGCCCCAGCAACAGCTACCGAACTTGTCAAGAAGGAACCATCACCTGTCCTAGCGCCGATAACGACTACTACGACGACAACAGAAGAGACGCAAAAAGAAGGGTCACCGTCCCGATCACCATCACCATCGCAACTTCAGTCACCGGCTGTTATAGTGGCTGCTGAAGAGGCCGCGAAGGCAAGAGAAGTTTGGGATAAATAATAGCTGTATATATGGACAGCGACGGATAATTGAATATAGCGAAGCGTCTTTTTTGGATTGTTTACACTCTTCGATTCGTAAAGTTGCAAGTGAATGAGTCATGTTTGAAGTATCTGCGCCAGCGGCACGGCTGTTGAATATTTACTTGTTCCCTCCAGCCTTCCTTCGAAGCTTAGCTTTCTCCATGTATACGTACTGTTACATCTTTTCATTAAAGGCTAGGTAATGAGAATGTACTGATTAATCCTCCTCTTCACCCGGACGACACTACTATAACCCCAAGGAAGTTACTCAATTCGATTACACCTCTCTGTCTACCAAGCGCATTATACTGTATTTAATTGACATGCCCGCACCGCTCGCCGCTGGGAGCAGATCAAGAGAAAAGCTCGGTATTCCAACTGTTTCCGATGCATACATACCTTACACATCCGTGAGTAGTTTCTCATCGATGTTCACGACATCACCATCATCACCAAGAAGAGAAGAAAGGTGCCCATCCTAACGGACATGGGCTCAAAGCCAGATGTGATGTCGTAGTGTAATGACCCTCCCTTCCTTCACCTGGAAGAAACACTGACTCGGTGCTGCCTCCATGTAGACCCATCGATGCCGTTGTTACCTAGAGGTAAGAATCGGCAGTTTTTTCTTCTTCCGACTACGACTACGGAAGACGAACCTCCTTGTTCCATCCAGTTAGAAGAAACCGTTCTTAGAGGTAGGTATTCTAGATCTGTTTGATGCGCAGGACATCTTCAGTTACCTACCTACTGAGTTTCACAAAAGAATCAATAGAGGAGAAAGGTAGGTAAGGTACCCTCATCAATTACCGTAGTAAGTAAGATATCAAAATCGCAAAGGAACTCCTCCTGTTATTGGAACCACTCACTGCATTCTGGTGGGAGACACGGTAGGTAGGTATATGTACCAAAGGCGTATTAGAATCAATGTCCAAGTTGATGCGTGCTCCCTCCCTTTTCTGATTCGAAAGTTCATAGTTTGTTGTATGTCGCTGTCCTGGACTCTTTTTTGAGCAAACTTTTTTTGTTGATTATAACATACACTTGGGTCAGCGTATTTAGTCCTCTTTCAGTTGCTTCGCTGTTCTCTGTTCTTATATCTATAGAGAGTATATGAAGAGCGAGAAAGAGATAATCAAATCGACTAGATGGAACATCACCGCGTCAAAACAAGCACTTAAATTTGAGGAGATTGCTAGCAAGATTGGTTCAAGGTACAGATCACCATCAGATCAACAAACAGAGAAAAAGCAGCATGTGGTTTTGGCGATTTTTAAGCTTTTTCCCTTCCCCCTTCCGGATATGTCTTTAGTTTTGCTCGTTCAAACCAATCTTTCATTTGTTTATTTTTTTTTTATTTTCAGTATTCAAGGACTGTAGCTTCGTCACCTTTTGAGGCATGGTCAGTGGGAAGAAAAAGAGGTACGTGAGGTCAATATGGGTGCCGGGGAGAGTAAGCGCTTCCAGAGTAGGAACATCAAGTTATGACACAAACAGATTGTCGTCAATAGTGTATTCTCTTATCTATTTCTCGCTGGATGAAGTTTATACAGCCCCCAAGAAGGAAGATTATGAAATCATCATCTCACAAGAACAAACTCGAAAAAAAAAGATGACAAACACACCAGGGCATGACATATTCTCGTAAGCCCATTCAGCCATACGTTTCCAGAACAAAGACCATCTATCATTCAAAGGAATAACTATATGGACACGAAAAGAGATAGAAGTAGGCCACCTCTAAGCCTCGATAACAACCTTGAGCACCAAGTTTCCCTCGTCATCCATCGTCCGACTAGCCAGTTCAAACGCTCCCTTGGCGTTCTCCAGCCCCTTGAACCGGTGGGTAACCATGTCATCCAAGCTCGGGAGAGTGAACCCAGCATCAGATCCTTTCTGGTTACAAAGTATTCGAATACCGGTAGCATACGTATTTGCATAGCGAAAGACGCCGAGAATGTCAATCTCTCTGAGATGGGCAACCGACAAAGGCAGCGTCTGAATCGGCGTACCCATGCCGACCATAATGACTTTACCACCTGGGCGGGTTGCGTACAAAGCTGTGTGCATGCACACTTCCTTGCCGGTGCACTCAAAGGTGACGTCGACGCCAATGTCTTCATCATCGCGGTCAAGAATAGGGTTTTGGGTCAGTGCTAGCATGTCGGCAGCAAGAGATTTGGCGGAGTCAAGCGAACCGCGGAAAGAAAGGGTGCTGGATGGTGTGGCGATGCTCTCTGATGGGGTGGATGAGCCAGAGTTGCTGTTGCTGTTGGAGAATATTGAGGAGCTGCTGGAAGAGATGTGGAGGGGTCGGGAAACGACGTAGCCGTGGGTTGCGAAGCCTTTGGAGATGGCGTAATCAACGCGGCCTTGGTCGACATCCGTAATGGTCACCTGTATGCAACCTGCCTGACGTGCCATGGCTGCGGTGAGTAGGCCGACCGTACCGGCTCCGAGTACTAAAGCCGTAGAGCCGGGAGCGGGACTTGCTCGATTGACAGCATGTATACCAACAGAAAGAGGTTCCACAAGAGCTGCAGCATCAAAGGAAATATTATCAGGGAGTCTACAAAGTTGTTAGCATTGTGTTTATACCCATAATTCCTGGATGAGCTTACTTGTGACACCAGATCGCAGGGTGGTTGATCCTCTCTTGGAGGGTACCTTGGTAGTGAGGAACTGACTTGGCACTACTCCTGAATCTCATCTTTTTGCAAAGATTATAACGGCCTTTGCGGCAGATGGTGCATTGACCGCAGGCCACACCAACTTCAAGCGCTACCCTGTCACCAACGCTAAAGCCCGAGACCCGGGGTCCTATGGCAACGACAACACCCGAGGACTCATGACCAAGTGAGAGAGGCATACAGGCGCAAAGGTCACCATTTGCAAACTTCTTGTAGTATGAGAAATCGGAGCCGCAAATACCTGTCGTCTTGACGGCAACCTGAAGCTCACCAAGCCCAGGTTCTTCGATGGTTCGTCTTTCCTACATTTACAATGCCCGTGTCAGATCTTTGTGTCACAGAAAACCGAATGAGCGTTGTAGGGTGACACAGGGCTTGATACCTCACTTTCTTGTGTAACACTCGCATCTACATCCAGAAACAAGGGGATGAGAAACTCACCAATCGCAGGTCCCGTGGGCCATGTAAGACAGACGCATCGATGGATGAAGCCGTAGACAAGACGGGTAGGTGCATCGGTGCGTGCTCACATCCTGCAGAGGGAGCCATATTGGGCTAGATGGCAAGGGAAGCGTGGGAGGGGAGTGGGATGAAGAGGTGTGATTGTATGGCTTGGTTCGGTGAGGCTCAAGGAATAGATCGGCCTGTAGTTCAAGAGAATCGGAGTCATAGGTGTCCAAGTGACATGGGGCTGGGATATATCAGGAGCTCAGTTGAAGGGTGGAAAGAACTGCTTGGCCTTCACCAAATTCTGTGATTGTGGCAGCCGGACGGGGAGAAGAACAAAAGGGAAATCGAAGACTTGAAGATGGATGGCTAGGTGGAGTCGATTGAAGAGGGCGAAAGTGGGAAGGAAGATAGTTGGCAAGGTTCGAGATGGTTGAGGCCAGATGAAAAGGCTCACTGCCTGGAAGAATATAACAATGGTCTGATGATGGTAACTTTGATGGTGATGGTCAAGGGAAAGGCCAGAACTTACAAAACCCCCCACCTACAAGTATATCAATCCCTTGTGCCAAGGCGATATATGAAATGTTACTCTCCAGTGACGTGCCTCAGCTTTTTTTTTAAAGGTTTGAGTTAGGATTAATCACATCCAGGACCCAGAACGCATGGATTCGTGACAGATACAGAGTAGGATACCATGAACCGGCGTCTGAACAACAATGATTTCTTTCTCGAACAAGCTCACCAGTAAGAAATCTGACGGTTATCTCTCGATGTCTGGGCAAATATCAAAACGACATGCGCCCCACAGCAGACCAACACGCTCTAATCTCGGGAAAGGCATGCAAGGAGACCAACAGCTGCACAGCTTTGTGCGCGTGAAGTTATCGTCTAGGCTGGTTGACGTTGAAAGGGCAACGTTGATGTAACAGCTCATCCGAGACCGGAGAAGAGCATGGACTCAAAAGTACATTGTGTATGTAGTGGCACAAGCAATAGCCCAGACTTGACATGCCGAGGTAGAATACTTAGTTACAGAGCTAGGTACAAGGTGTTGTACACATGGCTGTGCCAGTATGTCTGTACGGGCCGGACGGGTTGGCTTCCGCGGCCCATGTGGAGGGTTTGACTATGCCATGACCCGTGTTGCAGGTATAGGTGTCAGGTAGCAGCAGAGGATACCATACCATGGTCTCATCGGGATGGCGAGCAACCCATGCCGTTGAGCCAAGATATTGGCAAGGACCGTGACGTGGTAGCGCATATATCACCTACAGAGCGCGGTACGGTCAATATTTGTGTGATTAATGAAGAATAATACACGAAATACCGCAGTGTCTTGGAGGACTGGTGGTGTTGTGTAGTGATGATGGTGGTGTTCGTGGCTGATCCGGAATCTATCCGCTGCTCCACGATTGACTCGCGTAAAGGGTGGTGTGCTCTTTGGCAGTTGGACATGGTCTTCTTGGTCATCGAGATCGAGGATCGTGGAGCACGGAGAATGGGAAGAGAAGAGAGGAATGCGGGATGGAAGGGTGACACAACTTGGAATTGCGTGAAAAGTGGATGGAAAGAGGAAATTGAAGGAAGAGAAGGAGGGACGGCTGCTTCACGGAGAGGTGCCCAAGTTGACCAATGAGCGTCCGGTGTACTCCAAGTGCCGTCTGTGTCGTGACGACTGGTTGGGAAAGAACATCTTTCTTCCACTGCATCGATCCCTCCTTCCCAGGCAGTTGCTCCTTATCGTTTCAATGAAGACGCAATCTCATTCAGCTTTTGCAATTGTATTGCTCGAGTGACGGGCTGGAGTCAGTAGTCAGCTCGTTCAACATAGGACATTTATCCTTTGGGCGATGTTCAAACAGACAATGGCAGTAGATATAGGATATCACCAGTCTCACCCGTTTCGACAACGGGTGGTGCCTATTCTAGTATGGCATTTCCATCCTCAGCTTCAAGCTTGACATTATCTCTGGCCAGCCGCGGACAAGCACGAAATGCTGCCGTGGTTCCTATCAGGACACGGCCAACTTCCCGTGGTTCTGGCCAAATATGGTCGTCCATCCATTGCGCCCACTTGACGCGGGATATCGTATAGGCCATCTGAATAGCAACGAGTTCATGCTGTGTTACCTCATTCCCGCGTCCCTAATCAAGATGCTATTCACTTCAAAACAGGAAGCAACCGCCTCGGCTATACCACTGCACAACCAGACTTGTTTTCCTCTGCCTATCGGATCATGACATGTTTGCAGCAGCCAAGATCGTGTCCTCATCATCTGCATATGATCCAGCCTGGTGAGTATCTATCTCTTTGATGATCGAGACCGGGAAGTGGCCTTTCTCGATGGGATCAATCAATTTCTGCTGCTTGTCTGCATGTATACCAGCGGATGGCGGACGGCGGCTCGCCCAACAAATCAACCGCCCGTGATTTAATTGTGTTCAATGACATTCACAACTCAACCAAACTGTTACTACAGCCTCCTTTGGTTCTAATTGTTTGGCGCACAACACATGGCAAGCTGCCATGTTGCAGCATTGGAAGCCCCCTCAAATCAGCATCTAGAAACGCTTCTCGAGTGAAAGGGAACAAAGCTGCGCGATAAGTGTGGAGGTAGGTGTTTGTGATTATGGTTGGCACATACTTTAGGTTAGGAAAACCGTATAGTTTCGTGAAAACCAGAACTCAGCTTCTATGGAATTTGGCAGGTTCAAGGAGCCTTAAAGTATGACTCCTTTTTTTTTTTTTTTTTTTTTTTTTTTTTTTTTTTTTTTTTTTTTTTTTTAAATTTAGGGCTCTTCCCAAGAGTAATATGAGATGGACAAAAAGGCCAGATGATAAACGTTCTTGACGAATGGAGGCCAAAGTTCGAGCTAGGGAGATGGATGAACTCTGTCATCATCACGATACTGTTGGTTGTTCATGAATGTTTCCAGGGAAATAGCAATGACACCAAGCGAGAATAGAGCCACCACACTGGAGCGGCAGAGCAGCAGACTTGTACCATGCACATCCATCAATCAATATCGTACATATATCGCCATCATCTACAATTCACTCAACCAAGCATCTTCTCCCTCGGCCCCGTCACCAGCTCAAACTCGCCCGGATCCAACTGCAACGAGTGCCTACCGCCCGTCATGCTCCTCAGCTGGCTATCGTACTTCATCATATCCTTCAGCGGCGCCTTGCCCACAATCTCCAGCATGCGCACCACGCTCTTCTTGGGGTCTCGCAAGCTCTGCACGCTCTCATACGGATCCGGCGGGACGTATACCCTGCTCAGATCGATACCTCCGCCCTCGCTGATAAACGCAGCGTCCGCCTCACTCTCCTCGGGCCTCCTCACCTCGAGCACCGCGCCGCCACGCGCCGAGACGAGGTCGTGCTGGATCGCGTGCGACGCTTCCTCGGGGCAGTGGATCGTCACGTTGGTGAAGGGCTCGAGGATGCCCATGGCCGAGTTGGCGTGCGCCTCCTTCAGACAGGCGCGCACGGCCTGGAGCGCCGCGTTGGTGATGTGCCCGCCCGTCGTCATGTTACCGAAAAAGTCGGTCTCGGGATCAAACGTGATGGTGACGTGGGTCTTGCGCACAGGACAGTTGCGGCGCGGGCCTCGCGAAAGCCCGGCGATGACGCCGTTGAGGAGCTGCTGGCGGACGAGCTCGGCGTCGAAGGGCAAGGAATCGTGGTCTTCGGTCCCTTCGGGAAGGGGAATCGCAATGTGGATGATGTTGCCGTCGCGCTCGACGCAGGACTCGAGAATGGATTCGTGGCGGTGGTGGTCCTCGACGGGGACCAAGGTCGCGGTGCAAGCGGCTTTGCCGTTCTCGCCGCGCATGGGGCGGTCGAAGACGGCGCGGTGCGGTGGAACGGGAGAGAGGAGGCATTCCGAGTACTCGACTTCGATGTCGCCCCAGATGGCGGTATCGCGGTCGATTTTGTAGTGTGTCAGGAGACGGTGTTGGGCGATCTCGAGGTGGAGTAGACCCATGCCGGAGAGGATCAGCTGGTCCGTCTTTTCGTCCTTGCTCCAGCGGATACTGGGGTCTTCGCGCGAGAGCTTGCTGAGGGCTTCTTCGATCTTCTCACTGGCGGTCTTGGTGTAGGGCTCGATGGAGATGAAGGCCACGGCGGGAGGAGTGTCGAGAGTCTTGATGTGGACGGCTCTGAACTGCTCGGGAGCCTTGAGGTTGTGGCTGCCGGGGAAGGTGAGCAGGGTGTCACCAGTGCGAGCTTGTTTCAAGCCGGTAAGAGCGCCAATCTGGCCGGTACTGAGGTGCTGGATGTCTTGGTAATCTTTGGCAGAGACGTGAAGAAGCGCTTGAGCTTTCTCAAAGGCATTCATGTTGCTGTTGTAGAGGTGATTGCTGCGGTTAAGAGCGCCGTGATAAACCCGAACGAAACTCATCATACCGCGACGGGGATCGTCAACGACTTTGAAGACGTGACCGATGGTTGTGATGGGTGACTGGTGGTTAGCCTGATGGCCATGGTTCTTCTTTTTCTTGTCTTGCAGAGTAAGGAGCTTGGATAGCGGCATTGCCTTCTTGCCTTGAATGACCTCCACTTCTGGTCTATCGAGAGGGCTGGGTAAGTAGTCAATGACACCATCAAGCAATGGCTGCACACCAATGTTCTTGAGAGAAGCGCCGGCAAAGATGGGGGAGAACTTTGCCTCTCCATCCATGATCAGTTTTCTAATGGCTTTCTTAATGGAGGAAGTAGGCACGTCCTTTTCGAGCTCGAGAAACTCCTCCATGACGGCATCATCGTATTCAGAGAGTGTCTCGATGAGACTAAGACGGGCTTTGTCCATCTCGGCACGAAGAGTTGGGTTCTCCTTGCCAATGGTCTCCTCACTCACAAGTGACATTTGGCCCGTGCTGGAGAACTTCATGCCGATGAGGTTGATGATGTCGATGACACCAACAAATTCATCCTTATTCCACCACGGAATTTGGCAAATCAAAGGATAAGTTCTGAGTCGTGAAGCCACCTCGAGGCATGATCTCTTGAAGGAGGCACCATCACGGTCGAGCTTGTTGACAAAGATCAGTCTCGGGATCTTTGATAGTTGGGCAGACTCCCAGACACGCTCGGTATGAGTTTCAACTCCCTTGACAGCGTCAAGGATGCAGACAGCACCGTCAAGAATCGGCAAGCAACGGTCGACCTCGTAGCGAAAGTCCTGATGGCCTGGCGTATCGATTAGGTTGATGCTCTTTGGTTGTTGGCCGGGAGCCAAACTTTGCTGTGGAGGCCAGAGAAAGGTAACGGCAGCGGACTGGATGGTGATGCCCCGCTCACGCTCCATAGGAAGGAAGTCGGTCATGGTGTTGCCATCCTGAACATCTGCAAGGGGTGTAAGTGACATGCTCACTCGGTCGACGAGCTGGCTAGCTTACTTCCAAGATGTCTAGACAAGCCACTGTAATAGAGCATTCGCTCAGTTGTTGTGGTTTTGCCCTGGGAATTGGGTTAGAACGCAGAGCTCTTCCTTCAAGAAGTAAAGGACTTACGGCATCGACATGGGCAATGATGCCAATGTTGCGGATTGCCTCGACCCTTGCATCGTGAGCAGGGTCGGCGTAGAACCTCTTGAAGTGAGGAAAACTGGTGGCAGCAAGAGGAGAAGTTGCCTTTACCACGGTGGGTAGGCTTAAAGGAAGAAAGGCGCGGTGCCCATGACGGCATCCACGAAGGGGGGCAGCTAAAAGCATGGCACTAGACTAATAACCCAGACCGAATGGGTTGGGTTTTTGGTGTAAAAGGGGAGATAAACATTGAAGAGAAGCGACCAATCCCGGTTGCAATCACACCTCACCAACACACGGAACAGGTACTTGTACGTTGAGGGAAAACAAAGGACCTGACCCGACAAGAACCCACCTGTTTCGAGCTTTCACAGTGAAACTATCTCTCTAGGATAGACTTTTTCATCACTCAACAAGAAAAACAGCTTGATTCAATAAGCCCAGGATGTCAGACGCTGATCAAAACAAGAGAGTGAGTGAGGGTTGGTGGTGGTGGTGGTGGTGGAGAGCTGCCCTCAGAAGCTTCAACGAGGTCGCTCACTGCCAGCTGTCAAAGCTTAAAGCTAGAGCTGTCAAGAGCTGCTCACCAGCTGCGGGCTAGAACCTCTCGCCGAACATGTGGATCCCAACAGAAACCCCACTTCCTTCTTGCTTGGTGCGGACGATGGAGACGATGGAGATGCCAATCATCCACTGAAGGAAGCCCAAACACCAGGAACAGCTTCTCGTTGACATTGTTGAGAGCATTCTCATTCGTCTTTTAGTGCTCAAGCGCAAAGCTGGCTAGACGATCCCTCGGATGAAATAAAACTTTACGAACTCGATTTCTCCAAGTCCAAGTCTTGTAGATATTTATTCGAGGCAAGACAGGAGACAGACAGACCTTGAACCAAGCCGGCCGCCAGTTCGCCCTCATCTTTGGCGCAGCCCTCCAGTGCCAGTGACAAAAGGGATTAGCCCCAGTCTTTCGTGCCTGTACACTACCATACACTACACTACTTGTGCCTACACTCAGCGGCCTCACCAAAAGCAACGTCATCCCGACCGCCCACGCCGTCGACCGTCCCCTCTCCTCTCCTGCCTCTTCCTCCTCTCGACCGACCACCTCTCCTTTCAGGACATCGTCTGTCCCGGCCGTGATTCCCCCGAGCCAAATCGAACAAGGTTAGACAGCGAGATACATCATGGACTATAGCGCATCGATAAACGACACCGAGCACGCTGCCGGCAGCTCTCCTTGGGGCAACTCCCCTAGCTCGTCGCCACGGCCAACCCGCTCGACCTTCGCCTCAACCATCATCCCCGATGACTATGTGCCCCCGACTCCGAATAATGGCCTCGATGACGAGGGTGGGTTTGGTGCTGGAGACAATGGATTCCGCCGACATGATAGCACCGACGCGCCCGAGGCTCAATCGGGCGCCCTATTCTCCGACCATGTTCCCTCAGGCCAACCCCAGCAGGAGGGCCAGGCCCATGACAGCCACGGCGAAGCCCACCCGCAGTCTCAGACAGAATCGCATCGAGAGCCGCAAACCGAGAACGGACAGCATCAGCAACCGCAAGAACAACAACATCATGCCCAGTACCCGCCCCATCAGCAGCAGCAGCAGCAACAGCAACAACAATATCAACAATATCAGCAGCAGCCGCCACCCCAGCAACAGCCATACTCACCACATCAGCAAGTACAGCAGCAATTCCGGAGACCGCAACCGCAGTTCAAGTTACAGGCTAAGATTACTGGACTTGAACGTACCGGCCGCAAGGATCCTATTCTGAGATTTGATGTTCACGTACTTATGACCTCTCTTGTGTGCCCACGGCCAATGCGCCTGCTAACTTGAGTGACAGACGAACCTACCCAGTTTCCGTACCACGCAGTACCGCGATGTTCGCCGTCTACACTCCGAGTTCATCAAGCTCGCTGAGCACCTCATATCCGCGAACCCCGAGGCCATTGTACCTGCTGTGCCGCCAGCGCTCACTTCTGCCGGTGCCGGAACCGACGAAGATGAGGCGCGCGTCAAGGCACTGATGCAGCGCTGGTTCAACTATGTCTGCAGCAACGAGGTCTTGATGAGGGATGACGAGATGGTCCTCTTTACCGAGAGTGATTTTGGCTACAGTCCTATGGTCAAGAAGAAGCAACCTGCGACTGGTGTGCGCCGCAAGATCCTGAAGCAGTTTGCTCCTCCACCCGATGATACCCCCGAGTTGCAGGAGGCGCGCCCTATTGTCAAGTTGTTCTACCTAGGTGCCATGGATGCTGGACACAAGGTCGATAAACTTGTCAAGACTCGTAGAGGTAGAGCTTCTTCCACCACCCTACCAAAAACACCTTTTCATGGCCGTTACTAACATTTGTTCCTTTTCCAGGTCTTGGGCTGGTCGAAGCCGACTACGGCATCAAGCTCTCAAACATGCACATCCAAGAGCCGCATCCCGGTCTCTCGAACGCCTACCGCAAGCTAGGCAAGGTCCTCCAGACCGTCGGTGATCTACACGCCGCCCAGGCGACCGCCGAGGCCACCACCATCGGCGATCCCTTCCAGTACCACTCCAGCGACGCCTTCATCGTCAAGGAAACCCTCACCAACCGGCAGATCCTCATGCGCGAGCTGCTCCAAGCCCAAGAGCTCACCCGTAGCAAGCTCCACGCCGCCGACCGACTCAAGTCCTCTTCCAACGTACGCCGCGAGCGCGTCGACGAGGCCATCGCCGCCCTTCGCGACGCCCAAGAGGCCGAATCGACCCTCCAGCACAAGACCACCCGCGTCACCCAGAACCTGGTGCACGAGCGACGCAAGTGGTTCGCCCGCACCGCCGCCGACATGCGCCTGTCCATCCGCGAGTACGTGCTCCGCCAGATCGAGGCCGAGCGCCGCACCCTGGCCCTGCTCGAGAGCGTCCGGCCCGACATCCGCGCCATCGACTCCAGCGGCGGCCTGTCCCGCCTCGGCCGCGAGTCGCACCCCACCGTCCGGCGCGCCAGCCTGGCGGCCAGTCAGGGCCCCAAGGGCGACGCGTGGAGCGGCGTCCCGCGCGCGAGACTCGGCGAGGCCGGCTCGGTCAGCGGCGCCAGGAGCATATCCGGTAGCTTCATGGCCGGTAGCGTGCTGGGCGTTGGCGCCGGCGGCGGGGTGGAAGGGGAGGAAGCTGGCGGCGAGGACGCCGAGAGGCCAGGCAGCGGCGGCGCGAGGGGTGCCGTGGGCGGCTTGGTGGGTCTGCCGGAGGAGGACGATGAGGATAGAGTGGATGCCAGGAACGCGGCAAGTCGGTTGGCCACGAGTACATTTTGAATCGCAACAGTCACCCCGGCGCGGACTGCTAGACTCAGTAGTAGTGGTAGGGACGTTTCGGGGGGACTGCTGGGATATCAACAAGAAAACAATGCTAGGAGTCGGAGCGGGAGTAGTAGTGCAGGTGCGAGCTTGAAGGGCGGGAAAGCTGCTGCGGTAGTCAGCGGGGGGGATGAGAATGTGCGGGCGAGGAGGAAGAGGACTGGGTCGGTGGGTTATCAGAGATTATTACTGGGGTCGGGGAGAGGATGAGGATGAGGATAACTACGATGATGAAGGTTATCAGTATTTTCTAATGCAATGCGGGTGTAAATTATATTGATGTCGGGTGATTGTCGAGTTTATTTTACAAGGGAAGAAGATGGAGACGGGGGGAGTATTTTACAGTTAGGACATGTAGTGAATGATGATGACGATGATGGTGATGAACGGCATGAGCTACACACACGTGAAGGGTGGGGTGAAGTGAAGTGAAAATATATGACTACCAAACGGCATGACAGTTCGGGTTCATATACTGTCCTATTAGACTATAATCTTTGACGGTCTACCTTCCAACAACAAGTATCATCATTTCTGTTTCATTTCTCTCATGTTGCGTCCTTCCGTCGCATGCTTCTTCATGTTTGTAGTCATTCCTTTGCTTTTCGAAAGCCTTGTCGTTTCTCCATTAAAGGCCTTCACTTTCCAACATCCATACCTCCTCTTCCTTTTTTTTTTTTTTTTTTTTTTTTTTTTTTTTTTTTTTTTTTTTTTTTTTTCTCTCCTCTCATTCCCATGTTTTCATGATGTATAAAAATTACTTGTTGGACAAAACAAACAAAGGCACTCACTCATGACAGTTGATTAGCTTATGGTATGGTTATGTTTCCATTATCCGAGTCTCTCAACGAAGTGCTAATAGCTGCTTTGATTTGATCTGAGCCGAGCGTTCGTTACCAGCCTCTTTCCCTAGTACACAGCTCCTGCTCATCTATTGTATTTGTTTTGTTGTCTCGTCGCCGTCGTCATGCATCATCATAAATAATACCCCATCCGGCAGCATCTACCTAAAGTATTATCCGCACCCGGTCCAGGTCGAAAATGAATCGAAATGGGTCAAACTCGCTCCCTCCTGCTTGCAAGTTCATCCCAGCTAGACTACCATAGTAATGACGCCCACGACTTTGCTTTCAAGACATCGTAGGGCAGGTCATGATATACTGTAGCTGTCAAATCTCCGGCACAAGCCATTCGTGTCAGATTCCCTTGCTACAATATCAAACGTAGCAACTGATCGGCATATCCCAGTTGCGGATGGATTACTTGATAAAGTTCAAAGTCTTCGTATTCAACAGCAGCATCCTAGCGCGAAAACCACTAGTGATCGAACCTAGCCAAATCACCAGCAGGACCTGAACCACCAGAACCAGAAGCAGAGCCCTCGCCAACTAAGCCGGCGTGCTCTCTCATCATGCTGCTGCCGCCGCCCGGGTATTGGTGGTGGGGATTAAACCGTTCTCCGCCGCCGTGTGAAGCCTGTTCGCGCCGCTTGCTATTCTTGGCCGTCTCGACCACGTGGAACTTCTTGCCCACTTCCTTCATGTCTTTGACGCTGCTCATCAGATCGGCAATCAGCTCGACGAGCTTGACGTCGTTGGTTTCCTTGAGTAGCTCCTTTTCTAACGCGCTGAGATCCGTGTCCCTCTCTCCTTGTCCTTGTCCTTGCCCTGAAGTCGAGTTGGACATGACTAGCTGGACGTTGGTCACCAGCGCTTGGATCTGGCGAAGAATTTTGTTCGAGGGAACTGTGTACTGGGGCTGGGCTGCGCCCTCTGTTTGCTGCTGCTGCTGCTGATGTTGGGAGGAGGCGTCTCCGCTGGAAAGGTAATCGGGGGGTAGGCGTTGGAGGTAGGAGATGACAGTGTCGAGTCGCTTCTTCATCATTTGCACGGCGTTGTACTTGGCTTGGAGAGCCGACATGTAATCTAATTCGGCCTTGGTGAGGTTGGCGTCTCGGTTGTTATTTGTTGCGGTTCCTTTGGCGGCGCTACTCGTTGTGGGTGCTTCTGCCGCAGCATCATCTGAGCTCACGGCGCGTCGTTTGCTGCCCTTGTTTGTGTCGACAACTTTCTTCATGAGAGGCTTGTCGGAGCCCTCGTCCTCGGCGGCTGTTGTATTGGTTGCGCTAGTGGTAACGTTGGCACTGCCACCTTCCCGCACGAATTCCAGGGCGATCATCTCGGCTTCACCCGTTTCTGTGGTGTAGGGAAGTTCCCGGAACTTGATGGATCTTGAGGGCTCGGCTGTGACATCCTTCATCTCTCTATCTTCGCCTTCTACTTCTGCAGTGCTGGCCTCGGTGCCATCGACAATCTCCAGGTTGCTCTCGTATATCGTCAAAGGTAGGGGATCGCCGGCCACGGGGTTCAGGATTTCGTGGATGTGAAAGCCAAGAAGCACGGCGGACTCGTTCTGTGAGTAAAAGTAGCTGTGTATTGGGAGATGGGCGTCGGTAGGACCGCTCTTGGGCACTAGGGTGTACCATCCGACAAAGTCGAGAGCACGGTCTTTGTGGACGGCTTTCACTGTAGAGGGAGAATCTGTGTGTCAGTGGTACTGCCTTGGAGCTGCGCACAAGTGTCGTTATAGGAGGGCAACTGACTTTGGTCCAGGCGAGCCGTAAACCACTCCGAATCAACCTTGTAGTTCTGGCCGGTGTGTTCGGTCTTGACCGAGAAGCTGTGTTCGATGGTGATCTGGCGGCCATTTTGCTGGCCGATGAGGGCACCTACGATGGCGCCCTTGTAGCCGCGTAGGTAGCTGCGTGTGATGTAGTCGGAAATCTCCAGGATGGGCAGCGGGTGTAGAGCTACTTGTAGACTGCTGTCTGACTTTTGGGTCGACATCAACGGGTTGACCGTAGCGGCGGCCATGGTTTCGGTCTTTTGGTCGTGAACTCGTTGCGACCCCCGGTTGTGTTGTTTGTGGTAATAGGTGATAGTTGATGGTTGACGGCGGGGTAAATGAGAAAGAGAGAGATCGGCTAATTGCTAAATGGCTGTCGTCAACCTGTAGTGGAAGTTGTATAAGCGTCGGTGGAAGTCGCCGTTATTCTCGCTCGCTATCGGGATGTTCGTCAATGAGGTGTGTTCTTCAGAAGATGTTGTTTTAATGTAGAAACATCCCGGTAGAGGTGTAGGTCATCGCTGTCGAGTCCCCGCCATGGATGAACCGAACCGTCTGAGCTGCGGGAGCCTGGGTCGTACAGTGTGTCAACCAACTTGAAGTACTACAGTGGGTATTTGTCGTCATTCAAAACACTGTGCTGGGCTGAAAGCTTGGGCCCGTGCACCCCTGGCTTTAGACCTCCATTGTTTACTATCTGTCCATGGCAACAACCTAAAGACTTCACTTGTAACAACGTCGAACATGGCTTCCTTAGAGGTAGTGAAGCTGAGAAAAGTCACAAATAATTTCTGTTCCTGAAACACAGGTTCATCCCATGGATTTGTCAGGTTTCTCTTCAACACATGGCGCATCAAACAAATCGAGGCAAGCAAAGACAACTGGGAACTGGCGATCGGGTCGAATGGGATTCAAGTTCATTGAATATGCTTGAAATGTTTATTTCGTTTCTAATTCCTAACGCATAGCGGACAAAAAGCTGCCAATTAACAAGACAAGACATTAAACATTTCAAACATGCAAGTGTCCAAGCACTATCCTAACAAGGTAGGGAAGGAGAACAAGCCAGAGAAGATTGCTTACAGAGAACCTACTATCTGCCCACTCAAAAATAGAAGGATACAAGCAAAAAAAGGCATCGATCGCATTGCGCCCAAAGAAACACCTCAACACCCAAACTTTCGCGCCGCAAGTACCTTAGTACGTATCTCCTGGGGTAGATTCCCGAACCAGACAGCACAGAGTTTAAACATTACAATACTGTGTACGTACAGCGTACAGAGAACGTAAACACCATGTGTCTTTTTCTTGTTAGTAAGAAAGCACATCCCTCTACTCCCTACTCTCTTTCACACATCGACTCAGTTCCTCTCTGGCGTCTCCACAGCCTCCTCCTTCTCTTCCTGCTTCTGTCCAGCAAAGATCACACTAGGCAATGAAGCAGGCGTAGACGGCGCCGGAGACTGCTGCAATTGCTCCGTCTTCTGAGGTGAAAAGGGAATGGCTGAGGTGGCAGTAAACACGGGCACGTCCTTTCTGTTCATAGCATGTCCGGGACTAGTTGGTGTCTGTGCTGGTACCGAGGCATGATGCTTGCCAGCAGGAGGCTGGTACTGTATGAAGTTTTCCAAGGGAGTGGAAGACTGTTGAAGAGGCCTCAAAGGCAGAGGGAATGAAGTACGACTAGGCATGGGCGTGGATGCAAGAGCGGGTATTTCGAAATCTTCCATGTCGATGTCACCATCCCCGTCTTGGAGGTGATGGTGCCCAAAAAGCTCCGGATACTTGTCCGTGGCGTCCATGTCTTCGGAGGAGGAAAATGAGTTCCGGCCTTGTGAGTTGGGAGTGTAGAACTGCGTGGATGGCGCGGGAGAGGTGGTGTTGCTTTCGGTGGGAGATTGGACTGTGGCAACCGGTGTCTGCGTAGGCTGTTGTTGACGAGGTTTGTTTTCCTGTAGGTTGGATGTAACGACAGAAATCGCACCGGCGTTTTCTTTCGTAGCACGCTCCCGCTCGCGAGCCTCTTTCTGGGCTTGTGTGATAAGAGTAATCTTAACCTTCTTCATCCCGCCGGTCGCTGTATCTACGCCGTCGCCATTGCTACCAGTTGATGGCTGATCGTTAAGGGAAGCCGAAGCTGGTGATACTATGGATGCATTGGAGCTCCTTGCTGATTCGATGGTCGAAGTTGAAATCTTCCTCTGTGTCCTCGGTGCTTGCAGAGCATCCTTGTTCTTTGCTGGCCCCCGCGTTTTATTGACCACAAGAGGGTTCCCCTGCGGTCTGACACTCATTGAAGACTCGGGCCTGATGCTCATGGATGTTTCCGGTCTTCCATCATCTTCCGCATTTGTGGCTGAGTATCTGTGGTTTGGAGGAGACGAGTCAAGGCTGTCTGGGACGATGGTCGAAGCAGCACTAAGGCGTCGACTACGTGTAGCACGAGCGCCTCCTCGGGGCACACCAGTCTTTCCTGCGGACACAGCGTTCACTCGGTCTTCGTCTGTGTCCTCCTCCTTGATAGGCACTGCTTGCTTGGCTTTACGCTCCCTTAAGGCCATCCTTGTAGAGGGCCGATCCGATGAGTTTGCAGTGCCAGCATCGGACGCCGAAGTATTCGCCTGGGCTAACTGGCGCTCCCGGCGAGCCTTGGTGGCCTCAGCATTAAGATCTGTGTGAGTACAGCTGTCCGTTTGGCGGTCGCGCGGAATAAGAAGCTTGCTCAGTTCGCAAGCAGCAATAGCCCACGGAACCTCTGGAGCAGGAGGCATCGGTATTCTCGACGGCATTGGTGACATCGGCCTGTTGGCTGCCATGAGTGCGTGCTGATGGAGTCCGGACATACTTCTCCGTGGCGCTACAGACCGTGCCGTAGAGGCCTGTGTAGGTGAACAGTAGGTAGGAGTCGCAACGTTCCGAGGGGGCTTTGGTGGTTCGGGTGGGGGAGTCAACAGTGTAGTTTCCAGATGTTCAAGCGCGGCAGCAGACCACCACGAAGGGTTGTACTGATCATGAGCTTTGCCATTTCCAGTAGAACCAGCTCCAGCAAGGCCGCAAACGTGACTCATGATGCCAGAGCAAAGCGCCCGATCACTATATCCTCCCTCCAGTACGCTGATGATTCGGCCCTCTACAGCCGTGTCCACTTCTGCTGCAATACGTACTACATCTCGGGTTAATCGAGCATAGAACTCTGTGGGGACGTTGACTTCGTGTCTCTGCATTCCAGCGCCCTCCCATTCGCTGGCATCGAAACCAGCAGAAAGGAAGATGGCTGCCTTTGCGTTTTGGCCTGCTGCTCGCAAGCGCTCCGCCTGTGTGACAAGGTAGCTGCGCGCCTTCTCAAGCAAGACGGTGTACTTGGACTCGTAGAGTGCCCAGAAATCCTCTTCTGTCTCCCAGGGCTGTAGGTGCACATTCCACACATTCTGTCCATGAGCATTGTCGATGCATACACTCGCGTTCATAACTTTTTCGTCGTCGCCGGTCTCGCAAGGATACGAGTTGATATCGTGAAGACTGAAGTACCCGATCGAGGTCTTCTTCCACATCGCTGCGTTCTTTGCAGCCTTTACGCCTCTTGAGTTGTGCTGCCAAGCAATTTGCTGGGAGCCATCGCCGTGGTGGAGGTCAAAGTCGATGATGGCGGCATGGGTCAAGCCATGGCTCAGAATTGCGTGCATGATGCCCACATGAACGTTGTTAACCCAACAAAAGCCCGAGGGATACGAGGCGGAGCAGTGGTGGCCAGGCGGGCGAATAGCTACAAAAGCCCTTTTTGGACCCTCAGGCTTAAACACCGCATCGACGGCCTCACAGACACCGCCGAGAGCTCCTTCCATAGCATCTAGTGATTCTGCACAGAGATAGAGGTCACCTTCATGGAACTTTGGGGGCTCTTCCGCATTAGGTCCACGATCCATATCCGGGCGTTGAAGTTCTTTGCCATTCGTCGCCAGCTTCGCTTCAGCGGTATCGCACATGATCTTGAGTTCCTCCATCCATTTCGTGCCATGTACGTTGGTTACTGTCGGAGATGTGATGGCCAGTCGTCGAGTCGTTTTTTGTATGAGAAAAGGTACCGAAGGGAGGTTCCTGGGATGCTGATCCGGATGAATCGGGAACGAACCGTCTTGGTGGCGCTCGCCCAGACGTACATAGGCGGCCGACACTCCCAAGACGCTGGCCTTAATCCTCTCGGGTCGTTCGACGATGGTGCTCAAGCTTGCCTTGGATGTCCGGGGTCGAGAATAGCGATGTCCATAGCATGCATCGTTCAGAATAACAATGGTCTCGGCCGACAACTTGGGATCATGTCCGTGATGAATCTCAAGTTCGGCCTTGAAGTGGTCACTCGCGATGGATTGCGGAGTGGGCGGCACTTTGAACTCGGACGTATCAGGGGACATGTCGTTTAATGGTGACTTCTTGGCGGCGGACGGTGTGAGGTTGACTGAACTGGATCGACGAAGTCCATGGCCGTTGCTGTTGTGGGCGACCTGGATCGAGTTCATGGAGGCTTTGCGGCGAAGTGCAGGAGTTTGAGAGCGAGACGGTGGCCGGCCGTATGATACGTTCCGCATGGCGCTACCGGGGCGGGAGGGCGTCCCGTTTGGCGATCCAGCAGTCGAAGTAGCGAACTGAGGGCGAAGGGGACTGATTGCAGGTGGCGGGTGGTTGGCAGACCGAGGACTCTTCCTAGGCGACGGAGACTGTGAAGTGACGGAGGACGGGGACGCGAGAGAGATGGAGAGGTGATTCAAGGACTGAGTTAAGTCCCCTTCGGCATTGTTCTTATCCAGTTGCCCTTTGCTCGCCGTCCGTGACAGCCGTCTTTGTTGCAGATTTGACGCTGAGGTTGGAGTTGTATGTACATCTGATGCAGCACCTGCTGGCACACCGGAAACTCTCCTGGGATTAGTGGCGGAAGACCGGGAGGATGCCACGGACGCGGAGGATGATGGCCTGTTGTGGAACGCGGCGGAGGAGGACGAAGGCATTGTCACTGTGGTCACGGTACCGGCGTTTATCAGGAGGGGTCGGCTGGTGGAGGAAGGAGTTCGGATGAAAGCTGCTTCCTGCGATGCACAAGGACGGCCCTGCCTCAAGTAAGGAACCTGAAGTCCGGATACTGTGCCTCCGTCGTGAGAATGGGATCAATCAGCAACCGACACAAAGGGGCAAACGGAACTAAAGAGTTGTGAACTGGGGGTCACAGTGATGGAACGCCAAGGCAGAACTCAGTAAA